AAGCAAGAAATCTGGGCTGAGCCTTGAAAACAAAGTCCTTCTTTATAATGCGACTATAAAACCGATATGGACGTATGAAATCCAGTTATGGGATGCGGCATGCGCGACAAACCTAGATATAATACAGCGATCTAAGCATATGTAGAATCAAAGAAGAAATTGAAATCGTTACATAAAATTAGATAGCAAAACTGCACAATCATCCAAACCCTCTGGCTATCCTCTTGGCCTCCGCAAAAAGTTAAACGCGCCTGAAGAAAAGGGAGGCACTACCCTTGTGAGAATCATATTTGAATTTAATTTTTTAGATCAGATAGCTTAATTTGAGGCTCCTGATACCCAAGCAGATTCAATAAAGAAATGCAAATGTTAAAAAAAATTGCAATTTGATTAACTTACATCGATCCGTTCTCATGATTAGTTAAACCATTCAAATCGTTATCATCAAATATTGAATCAAACAAAGTGAAAAACGGTTACTCTAGTGGATTATGCACAAACTTAGAGAGGACGTTCGGTGCGCTGCGCAGACATTGTTGTCGCTGTGGAGCTGAGTATCGAAGAAGATCCGTAGAACAACAATTAGAGCTGTACCCATTCAATTAAGGGGGAAAGACACTCTAGAGGTTCAAACATTTTTTAAATTTAACCGCTGACGCTCCTGCCTTCACCTTCTCAGATGATCGAGCCATTTCGTGTGCCTTATAAAAGGCAGTGTTAAAGGTAGTGCTCGATGGTCTTCGTCCCTACAGTCGCGGCAAAAATCGTTAGAGTAATAGCTCGTCCTATTCCCGTGAAGCCCCACTAAACAGGGTCCAGTTATTATACCAATCGTTATGTTAATGGAGAACCGGTCCAGAAGGATAAAATGTTTTGATTTTTTCGCGTCCAACTTCGGCCCTAGCTGTCTTGTGACGTTACACGTGATCCAGCATCGTGTGGGTGTTTTATCGTGGATAGAAGGGTTCGTTCCTTTGCTAGTTCGTTTGCTATGCAATTGTTGGGATGTCCCTGTGTCCAGTTACCCTGACCACGGCAGTACTGTACTTCGTTGGGAGTTTATTATGAGAGTTCCTACAATTTATGACCACTTTAGATGTGGTACCGTTACGCTGAAGAGATCTGATTGCAGCCTGACTATCGGAGCAAATTTTCACTCCGTGACCTTCATGCTTGGGAGGAGCTCCTTCTGGAAAACGCAGCAGTGAGCCGGTATTCTCATGTTCATGTTTAATGAGAACACGGGAGAATAAACTCCGCAACCCACCATTTCATCAAGCTTCGAGCCATCTGGGAAGATTGCTATTGTTCCCTGGTCGGGGGCGATATTGTTTTCCTACTCGCATTTATTTGGGATTCTCGCAGAGAAAAGTTTATCGAAGCATACACGGAAGGTGGTCTGGACTACACCTCCTTCGGCACTTCTGTAAGAGATGAAGTTTTTGTATATCGCATAATACAAATATTCCAATGTTGAGTTTCATGAAATCTTATTGCGTTGCAACCCGCTTATTAGAGAGTTAGCAGTGCTTTCGCAGGAGTGCTCCTGTTATCAGGATGGACGCCGATCGTTGAACTCTCTCTAAGTTGCTCTAATTTGCTTCTGAGGGGGGTTTTATCGACGGACAGTGACTCCGTAGAATAGGATTGGTCTAACTACCGACCCCATCTCTTTCATATCGTCTAGATTTTGAGCAGAAAAGTAAAAAGTTGCATGATCGACAAACTATAGTCCTTCGAAGTACGTACGGATTTATTTTTTAACGCATTTTTGTGAAAGCGGCACTGACCTCCCAGTTGCATTTTCCAAAATCCTAGAGTGGGTTCCATTAAGAGATTTTTCGGAGGATCTTGATTTGGGATTCCCGGCAAGTATCGTGCCATACGTTCGATGAATAGACCCAAAACGAGATGACCACCGATCCTCCAATTTTCACAGCGAAGAAGCTCATTTTTGGCTCAAATGTAACGATAATAAGGAAAATTATCGCTTTTGGAGTGTTGATAGCCCGCAAGCCAATTGTTGAGACGACGTTAAATCCTCAAAAAGTCACTGTTTGCTATGGGTTCATATTTCTTCAAAATTTTACGGTCTATGAAAAACGCTAAATTGAAGGTTCTTGATGTAAGGGAACTTTGGTTCCAACAAGACTACGTGCTAAATGCTATAAAGCCAACGAAGCAATGAGTTCATGTTTTGTTAGGTCATTATGTCGCGTAGTGGACCTGTGATGTGTCCTCCAACTAGTTTTTGTGGGGCTCATGTGAAATCGCTTGTCTAAGCAGATAAGCCCGAGAGGTTTAAGGCTTTGGAAGGGAATATTCGGCTCGAAATTGCCGATATAAGGAGAGAATTTCTGCGTAAAGTGTGGTCGAAAGTTAGACCTCTCGACTGGAATTTATTGAAGGCCGCCGCAACGGTTACTTAGCCGAATTCATTTTGAACATAACGGCAAATCTTTGTGTGTATAATAAATCGAAAATCTTTGCTATAGCATCAAACAATATGCAACAACGATTGGATAGACGTTTAACCTCAGGGGACTGTCGATCTCTCAATTAATTAGCATTAAAAGGGTAGATCCTTCCCAAGCTCTGGCGGTAAAGAGGATATTCAATCTCAGCTGGTACGAAGCAGTGACAAATCGCATATGTGGCGTTCGACATGTCGACTGCTACAAGCATAGCTCGCGCGTATTGAACGCTTTTGGTCGCAACTACGAGTTGTCTGGTGGTTGTTTGTGACTTTCTGAGCAGTGCTGGTGCTGAGCACGCTTCAGGAGCCATGATTACGTTTAGCTGGGCGCAATAGGCGATTGGAAGCTGGTATCACAAGTGACTTTACCACTAGGGATGAGAGGGATTTTGAAGTAAGTATGTAATTCAGCGAAGTCGACTAAATTCGTGGGGTTTCATGCATTTTGGGCGTAAAAAACTTCTCAACGGCATATTGAACATTCCAACCTTGGTGAGATCATTTACTTTCGCTGGGTCCAATATTTTTTCAGCATAGACAAGCATTGCTTTGGAGCAACGAAGGTAAACTTCCTGTTTTCAACACTTCTAGTCGCTACAACAACAATGCATTTTAGTATAAGACCTAAAGTAGCCAGAGCATTTCTTCGGGTGTCTTCATAGAACAATGATAGTCTACCTCTTCAGCCATTTGTTGTTGCTGTTGTCCCAGTTTGTGGCTTGTCAATGCTACAGCGAGGCCGATTAACGGAGGGCTCTGCCCCGATAAATTGAAGTCGGAGCAAGCGCAGGTTTAGATGAGTTCCCAATATCTTTTGGTTGTTTACAGTCGAAATTTTTACGTCATCGACCTACACATCTAGTTTAAGTCTGTATTCCTTCGCCTAGCTGGTGAAGAGGGTAGCCGAGGACTTCGTCGGCTGTACTTTCAATTATCGTGGAGTGAAGAAGTGGGAAAGATCGGCAAGGTAGCAGTTTACTTTCGAGCAGAGCCCTCTTAAACCAACTCATCTAACCCCCCTCTCACTTTTGTACAATCCCGTCGAAACAGCTCGTTTCCTGTACCTCCCATTAGATGACCTCGGCGACTTAGATTAGTGAAACCTGTACCTAAGCGGAGTTAGCGCACCGCTAAAAGAACGAAAAAGTGGTTGGTGTGATACGGAGACTAATTGAATCCGGAATATGTTTGCAGAGGGAGAGTAGTCATAAATAGTTCGAGTCTGGATAATTATCGACAATTTCATTGGGGCAGGATTACGATGGACGCTCCAGACGACTGTAAATTCTCAGCTTAACTAAATAGTAGTTGGGCTCCGTTAACGGCAATCAGAGGTAAGAATTTTGTTGTTGCTGTTGTAGCGATTGACTAGAGGCGCGTTGAGGAGCAGTCATGATCAGACAAATTTAACGGCATCATCTAACAGTTTCGGCGGATTCGGAGCAGACGGGGTTTCAGGGGCAAGAAAAGAGGTGTTTACGAGTCGAGACTCACTGCAAGCAGCACATACGTTGGGTATGTCGGGATCAAGTCTAGAGAGTATGAATTTAGTCAACTACAATATCCAGATCTTAATTGCGCCGCGTCGATTGATTCGATGTGTGTCGTAAATAGGATTTTAAAAAATACTGCTTGTCAAGCTCGAGATGATGCTCTTTAACAGGGAGCACAAGTGTGTTTTTAGAGTGTCACAAGTGTCTGGCAGCCCTACTACGTCTGTATATCCTCGGCGCCCAGCTGAGTGCAGCGCAATAAATGAGCGTTTGGAGAGTAAATAACGACGGCTTTCCTAGTGCTTTGGATTCTTCATATTAAGAGAGCAACAGTGGTTGGTATCAGGCAATGTAGGAATAGAAACGGCATTTTTTTTTTTTTTTTGAAAATTAACGATTCTTGTAAACCGTCTTTAGGTCTTGCGAATCTAACTTTTTCAGAAGAAAATTCGAATTTCTATACAAAAATTCTACACAAAAATCAGATTTTCGAAGATATCCATCTATTTGTTGAAGAATAGAGTGTTCTATTTCCTACGGCAGGATTTCGACTACCAAATCAAAAGAGTTTTGAACTGTTGTGTGTCGACTAAATTTAATTTTATTATTTTTGTTTAAAAACCTTATTATAGGTTTTCTTTTACGTTCTACTAAAAATTATTATTTATGGATTCGCTCTCGATTAACTACTAAGTGTCTATGTGTGAATGTATTGTTGCTGAAGTGGGGTTTTTCGTTAGCCCATTGTTAATAATCACGCTGCGGCTGCATAACTAACCAATCATTATTTAGTGTACGTTCAATGCTCAATAATTAATTACGTTTTCTATACGCTTTAGGCTGGTGATAGTACGGCAGATAACAATGTCTTACATACATTGTTTTTGCTTTTGTCTTTGTTTTTGTAATTTTAATTTGATCTTTTTCTTTTGTTTTCGTTTTTCTTTTATTATGTATATAGTTTATGTTTTATTGAAAATTAGAAATGGTTGTTGTTGTTGTTTGTCTTGTTTAAGCATATACTTCAATTTGACAAAATTGGTTTGTTTAATATTCATTGATTTTAAAACTAAAAATCTAACTGTAAAGATCATCATCACCATTATCGGCTGGCGGATTCGCTGGTACATTTGGTCCAGAACCTTGTGAAGTGCTACTGGCGCCTGGGAATCTATATGAATGAAAAACAGAGAAAAATATATATATATTTAATTAATTAATTGGCGTCCCTTTTCTGCTGGTTGTCTGGTTTGTCAAACATTTTTACCTAAAGTTCTGGCCAAAGCCGCGCGATTGTTGCAAAGTCTGTGCAAACATTTCGTATTTTCTGATATCGTTGTCAGATACTGAACGTCTGGCGAATTTCATCGCCTCCTCAAAGTGGGCACGTGTGATCTCTGGTACAGGATCGTCTTCATCCATCTAAAGAAACAAAAAAAATTAAATTTTATGTAAAAATTAAATTGAAAGTTTTTGTAGTTTTTGTTATTTTCGCTGTACAACGCCGCTTACCTCCATAGTCTGCTTCTCAGCACGCTCCTTTTCCCGACGCACCTCCGCTTCGATAGCCTGTCGAATAGCCAATTTGCACGCACGTTGGCAGATTTCAGTCAAATCGGCACCTGAAAAGCCTTGTGTCACCTTGGCAATGTATGTTAGATCGACATCCTTGGCCAACGGCGATTTGCGTAGATTTGCCTTAAGGATAGCTTCACGTGATTTGTCATCGGGTAATGGAATATAGATCAATTGATCCAGACGTCCAGGACGTAAAATTGCTGGATCAATGATGTCGGGACGATTGGTTGCACCGATAATGAAAACGTTCTTCTTAGCACCCATACCGTCCATTTCGGTTAGAATTTGGTTAATAACACGATCAGCAGCGCCACCGGCGTCACCAACATTGCCACCACGTGCTTTGGCGATGGAGTCCAGCTCATCAAAGAAGAGTACACAAGGTGCTGCTGAACGTGCCTTATCGAAAATATCGCGTACATTGGCTTCCGACTCACCAAACCACATGGTAAGCAATTCGGGTCCTTTAACCGAAATGAAATTGGCCTGACACTCATTTGCGATGGCCTTGGCAAGCAAAGTTTTACCTGCGCAGAAGAGGAAAAAAAATATCAGATTAAATAAATGTTCATACAACAATAGTTTTAACTTATAAACACTTACCGCAACCAGGTGGACCGTAGAAGAGCACACCACGGCTAGGTTGCATGCCGAATTTCAAGAATTTATCGGGATGCTCTACTGGATATTGCACCAATTCTTGCAATTCCTTTTTCACACCTTCCAAACCACCAATATCCGACCAGGTGGTGTTGGGCACTTCCACTACAGTCTCGCGCAATGCCGATGGACTTGACTTCGTCATAGCGTAACGGAAGTTCTCCATTGTGACGGCCAAAGAGGCCAACACTTCGGCATCGATTTTGTCATCTTCCAAATCGATCAGATCCATCTTTTCACGAATCTGCTGCAAAGCGGCTTCGGAGCAAAGTGAGGCCAAATCAGCACCGACATGACCGTGGGTTTCAGCGGCAATCTGTTCCAAATCGACATCTTCATGCAATTTCATATTTTTAGTATGAATACGTAAGACTTCCAAACGCCCGGTGGCATCTGGTATACCAATATCAATTTCACGATCGAAACGACCGAAGCGACGCAACGCGGGGTCAATAGAGTTTGGCCTGTTGGTGGCGGCCATTACAATCAGATGCGAACTCTTTTTCATGCCATCCATAAGCGTTAGCAATTGTGAAACAATACGACGTTCAACCTCACCATGTGTCTTGTCACGCTTTGGTGCGATAGCATCGATTTCGTCAATGAATATAATAGCTGGCGAATTCTTTTCAGCCTCTTCGAAAGCTTTACGTAAATTCGATTCGGACTCGCCGGCAAGTTTCGACATAATTTCCGGACCGTTAATAAGGAAGAAGAATGCACCAGTTTCGTTAGCAACAGCACGTGCAATCAATGTTTTACCAGTACCGGGTGGACCGTACATGAGAATACCGCGTGGTGGCTTAACACCAATGGCTTTAAAAAGCGAGGGATGGCGAAGTGGTAACTCCACCATTTCCTTAATTTGAGCAAGTTGCTTGCGGCAACCGCCAATATCATCATAGCCGACAGCGTTTAGCGACTCCTCTTCCTCCTAAAAAAAAGCATTAGGACGAGAGTATTATGTGAAAAGCATTCATAAATAATTTAATTTCATACGAAATTACCTCGCGTTTAATTGGTTCGCCATCACAGAAGATTACCGTCTCCGGTGCAACAATACAATATGGCTCAGGATCGGTGAGCACGACTTTGAATTCTATCGGACGCATAGCAGCGCGTACGATGAAGTTATCTCCCATGTGTATGGGTCGGTATGCTTCCAAAAAGTATGGTTTCAAGTAAATCTCAAATAGATTACCCGAAACACCCTCTGCAGTGTCGTCGATGGGTAGAATGCGAACACGCTTGCCATATTTTACATCAGGGCATGATTGAATGGATACAACATCGGATAAATGTACGCAAAGATTGTTGCGCACAACACGATTCATGCGTATCTTTTCGTTAGAGCAATTTTCATCCGATAACACAATGCACACTGTCTCCTTGCGGCGTTTGCCCTTCAGGATTACCGTATCACCTCTGAACAATTGCAATTCGTCCATTTTTTCCTGTAAATCAAAGGAATAAATGAAAATTTTACTTAATTAAGATACAAATTAAAGTTCTGATGATGGAAGTATTAAAAAACCTGCTCATCTGATAAAACATAGGTGAAGCATATACAAGTAATGTATGTACACAGATATGTATGTAGTGACTAAGCAGGTCAAAAAGACACGTAGTTATAAGAAATAATTACAATGACGCTGTACGTTTTTTTTTTTCAATATTTCTTCCCTCTGAACCTACGAAAAAATAATTAAATGGTATTTACCTGAGATAAGGATACCACGGAGTTATCATCATTAACAGCTTCCTCGACAATTAAACGATTTGGGCGATCCTTGCGCTTCAAGATAGCGGTAGCTAAATCATCACTGTGAATATGAGGAAATAAGAACAATTTTTTTTTTATTGAATTGAGAATATTTTAGTGGTATTAAAAAAATGTACATCAAAAAACGTTTTCACACCGTTTATCATTAGAGGTTTGTGCAGAAATCGGCCTGGAATTTCCACTAGAAGGTTCGCTATCTTTGTCACCTTTTTTATTACCATCAGCTGAGTTCGCTGTTGGTAAGTAGAGCGAACCTTGTGTTTTTTTAAGACGCTGTTCCTGTTCATGTCTATACTTGTGTACAAAATTTGATAAATCCTGATCGGCGTCCATTAAGTCATCTTCACAAACATCATCATCTGCATCAGGACTCCAATGAAATGGTACATGTCGGCGGCCACTGCCACCTCCACTACCATTATTTCCACTGCCACTAGCCATTGCTGGAGTCTATATTTGTTTTCACGTATTCTATATGTTTTTTATGATAGTGCAAATAAATTTTTCTTTGTTTAAAAATATTTTTGAGCCACTATCAAAATGATGCCTTCAAATTTTTGGTTAAAACTTTTGAAGTGAATATCTGGTTTTGAAGGATTTTTCAAAACAATTTAAAAATTTGTAAAACAGGGTGGATTTGCAGGGCATTTTGACATCTATTAAATGTACAGTGGATGGTTGATTTGAGTATCTTGAGCAATTACATGCAGAGCAAATGGCGTATGAAAAGCTACATATAACGAGTTGACGCAGCACGCAAGTTTCATGCAGCACTGCCTGCACCTATTGCTGTTTATAGGTTAATTTCCGAAATCATACAATAAATGCTTTTCAACAATTATTTTGATCAATAATGAAAGAAATATTAAAATTAAACTCGTTTTGCAATATTTTCCCTTAGATTTGTTTAATTTAACATGTATTTCATATGCAATGACAACGCGAAATTGAAGCTAGCAGCAGAGTCTCAGTCGCAGTCACTACAGCGGCAACTCATTTTGACAAAACACAAAGTCGGCTTTTAATAAACTATGAAAAATATAAAATTTACACTTACCCTTTAGAATCGGCCATTATTGTTGTTAACACTTTATGCTTATTTCACTAAATATGTGGAAACTTTTAATTTTTATTAACAGTAAAATTACTTAAACGCGAAGAAAATCTTTTCACTTTGCAACGAAGACAGCAGACAGCGAACACAAACGAATCTTTTCCTTGTCTATGGTTGAAGGTTCGTTGACGGTCGCTGACGTTGAGCAGCGCAGTAACGAAGAGTAGAGCTCACGCAGGGTTGCATATATAAAAATTGAAATATCTTAACAAAATGGCTCCAATTAATGTAAGTTTTAGGGCTTTTGTCTTATAAATATTTGTGCTTATGTATGATGAACTAAGCGAAACTAATATACTTTAATTGTACTTTATGTTTATTAATGCAACGTTTAAAAATTTAGAGACATATATTGCAATAGCGTTATGTTTAAAAATATCTTTAGTACATAAAAATTGCATCACTGAATGCAATGTTCGCTGACTCACGGACAGTGCTTCCCAGTGTTGAGGACACGTCAGTTCGATTCAATGACATTAGTTAGCGTTTTTTCTGCATTGACACTTAGCGCTGTTGTATATAAAAACATAAATAGTCAAGGCATAAAGAGTATTAAATTTGTTTTATTTTATACCTTCGAACAAAGTTGTTAGTTAAAATAAAAGAAATAAAACTGCACAGTCGTCTTAACAAATTTATAGGGACATCTATCGTAAGTTTGTGTGGTTTGTGTCTGTGCTTAAATAAGCCTGTCGTGCTGCCAGAAAAAAATTATTTTCGTACTTCATTCGATTTTCAACCAAACTGATATTCATGCTGCTGGATAAGTAATTTCACTAAAATGATTAAATAACCAAAAACAAAATTAATGAAAGGGGAAATGATTGCTTTTGGAGGACGTCTGGATGATGAAAAGTTGTTCTAGTCTTTCATTTAATAAGTTTTCTGCACATTTTGGCGAATCATAAAGGGCTTAAAAGATGAGTGATACACTAGATAGCTGCGATTTAAAAATGAAGCGATGAGTGCACAATTCGAGTCATGTGGAGCTTTCATTCTCACACCAAAGCTATACTCAGAAGTAGAGGTTCCAGAATTTTTGTTAGAAAATAATATTAATGTTCATAATTTAAATTTTTTTTTTAAATTATTATATGTATATTTGTTCGACATAAAACTATTCAGGACGTTTTCATGGTGATGGTTATTAATTAAAAAAAAAATTAATGTGAGGCTTTAGAATTTTATAATTAAAATGTTACGTTGTTTTATAGCTAAATTATGAAAATTAATTTTAAAATCTTCGGCAGCACACAAAATTGTACCAACTTCGTCATTCAACATCCCTGCAAGATGGCTTCCTATCATTTGAGCTAACATATGTCAGGAATGCATGATGTCATATGCCATCATCTCGTTGAACGATTTCCCCATCACTTTCTTCAGGCCGAAATGACAAATGTGATGTTTACATTTGTATACGCGTACGTCATTCTCTCCTCGTTTCCTTGTGCATTTTCCCTCATTCTTGTCGAACAAACAGAACACAGCTGAGCAAAAGCGTTGAAACCAAAACAAAACAACTTTGACGTAAACAGCAGCAGTGCGGTACAAGACGAACACATATGAGCGACAGCATTGATGCCGAAGGAAATCAACTTTGACAAAAATTTTCCCTGCATATATACATACATATTACATACAAACATTATTAAGGTTCAGTCTTTATTCCAATATTTTACATACATCATTTACAAGGTTTATATAGCACACAAAGAAATAATATAATAATACAGCAATAAATTCAGTCTCAAAAATCTCTAAAATATTGTAAGCAAAAAAAGTTTCTTGTTTATTCATCTCCTCAGCTCTATGAACGCGTCCGTCAACATCGCGACTCCCATGAAGTTAAAAAATGTCTAAGTAAAATAGAAAATGAATGTTATTAAGGGGCACACCTAGTGTAATGGCCTAGAAAAATTTAATTTTTGGGAATTTTTATTAAAAAAAATACTTTATCAATTATTTCAAAATTTTAAAATTATATTTATACATGTTTCAAGAATATACAGCGAAATTTCTGAAGAAAAAAATTAAATACTTTTTAGGTTATAGTCGATCTCCAACGGTGCGAAAAAAAGGTCCTTCACTGCTGCAGTGATTGCGGCCTTCTCCGAATTGGATCGTCATGTAACGGAGCGTGAGATAGGAGAGAAGTTAAATATACCTAAATCAACCGTTCATTATCACATAAAAAGTCTTGGACTGGTGAAAAAGCTTGATATTTGGGTACCACATGTATTGAAAGAAATTCATTTAACACACCGAATCAACGCTTGTGATATGCACCTTAAACGCAATGAATTCGATCCGTTTTTAAAACGAATCATAACTGGAGATGAAAAATGGATTGTTTACAACAACGTTAGTCGAAAACGATCATGGTCCAAGCATGGTGAACCAGCTCAAACCACTTCAAAGGCTGATATCCACCAAAAGAAGGTTATGCTGTCTGTTTGGTGGGATTGGAAGGGTGTCGTATATTTTGAGCTGCTTCCAAGGAACCAAACGATTAATTCGGATGTTTACTGTCAACAATTGGACAAATTGAATACAGCCATCAAGGAGAAGCGACCAGAATTGGTCAATCGTAAAGGTGTCATATTCCACCAGGACAACGCTAGACCGCACACATCTTTGGTCACTCGCCAAAAACTGAGTGAGCTTGGCTGGGAACTTTTGATGCATCCACCATATAGCCCTGACCTTGCACCATCAGACTACCATTTATTTCGATCTTTGCAGAACTCCTTAAATGGTAAAACTTTCGGCAATGATGAGGCTATAAAATCGCACTTGGTTCAGTTTTTTGCAGATAAAGGCCAGAAGTTCTATGAGCGTGGAATACTAAATTTGCCAGGAAGATGGCAAAAGGTTATCGAACAAAATGGCAATTATATATTTGATTAAAGTTCATTCTAAGTTTTATTAAAAATGCATTTACTTTTTCTTAAAAAATCCGCAATTACTTTTTGGGCAACCCAATAGAACATGTAAAAAAAGTCGATAGTGATCGGATCATTTGTTTTTGAGTAATCACTGCAGCGAATTCGGAAAATGCTGTTTCGAGAAAAACGAGTTTAAAGATAAAATGATCGTTTTCACTCGTAGCTAATGAGACTCTCTCGCTGCCGAGCGGCTGCTCTTTAAATTGATATAACTCAAAAACTATTTGAGATATCGATTTGAAATTTTAATATGTTATTTTTAAAGGTGTAATCTACCGAAATATGGAAAAGATCGATTTTTTTGAATTTTCACACTAGATGTACCCCTTAATATCCAAATGCTGCAAAGTGAAGAGCGTCCAGTCAGTCAATCTGCTCCATTAGCTGAGTTCTCCGCACAATATGCAGTGCCCTTAAATAAAGAAATGTAAAAAAGCAATGAAAAATGAAGAACACAAAGAATTAATCCAAAATATATTATTACCACAGCTTGTACAGGATCCTCATCACATATTTTTCACTTCTATCTGCTGCGGAGGAAACGATAAAAAATGACGTTCTACTCGAAAATGAGAACAAAGAAAATCGGAGAATCCGTTCAACTGCATTCCCTTTCAGTTTGTATGTAATCAGAAGAGAAAGATAAGCAAAACAACTTGCTTATGTGTTAGTGCTGCCCGAAATCGTGTGAGTGTATTGGTGAACCCATCAGTCCGTTCTTGCAAGGATCATTCATCGCGATGAATAAATGTCGACAGCAAATCCAAATATACGTACACGACCTGACTGAGTAGGCGAGGGGTGTGACCGAAGATTTCTTCCATGAATCAAAATCGTGCTTGGAATCTACAAACTCGGACATAAAAGTTAACACATCCATTGGGAGATCTAAGAGCTGTCGTCTTCGCCGTGGCACTATTGCTCATAGTTTCGCTGTCTGGCACCAGTTGGAATTACCAAGTGAAGCCAGGTCACTCTCCACCTGATCTTTCCATTGGAGTGGAGGTCTTCCTCTTCCTTTGCTTCCAACAGCGGGTACGCCATCGATTCGGACGACATGACCTAGCCCACGTAGCAGCTGTCTCTTCATTCGATGAACTATGCCAATATCAACGTAAACTTCGTTCAGCTCAATCGTTCGCAAAACTTTTCTCTCGTAGACTCCTAGAGCCGGCTCATGAGATGTTGTCAACGTCCATGCTTCCGCACGATATATTTAGCAGGATGGGTATGATGAGCGACTTGTAGAGTTTGGTTTTCGTTCGCCGAGAGAGGACTTTACTTTTCAATTGCCTATTTAGTCCTAAAGGAAGCAACTGTTGGCAAGGTGTTAATGCTGGTTCCTAGATAGACGTAGTTATTTACGACCTCGAAGTCATGACTGTCAACAGTGACGTAGGAGCCGAGTCGCAAGTGCGATGACTGTCCAAAGCTGCTTTATATGATCGGATTAACTAACTTTGAATACAAATCGATATGGTGATTTGCATAGAACATCGAGCCGTGTTTGCTGACAAAATAGCAGCGATCCACAAATGAGTGAGTACGAAAGGCGCGGGAAGTGGTTCCTAGAAAGCAAGCATTAAAAGTGTTTCACTGATCTTGTACTTTTTGCAAATGAGTAGACTAAAGATGAAGTAATTTATTTTTTAAAATTTTAATCGTTCCATAAGTTCAAATTTTTTTTTGTAATTTCTCATTTACTTAACCTAAAAGCAAGTAATTCCAGCATAAATACCAAAATACTAACACTGTAACTCACGCTAAACAGCCAATACATCCAATGGAAATCACCAAGGACCAACACTCTATATGCGCGTGAATCATTCAGGCCGTCCAGCTTTATCGAGCCGACAGCTAACATATCGAAAAACGTCATTTCCCGCCAATAATGGATGAGACCCGCCTCTTGCACTGCGCTTACAAACCGATCGAGCGCAGTTTTATATACGGAGTTCTCCTGTATGGGTATGGCCATTACCAGATCATCATCCATAACGATATCTGTGGTCAGTCGAAAGAGTTTGCGTTGACTAAATGATTGCTTCAGCTCAATTATGGGCCACAATGAAGTGGTGATCGTGTAACCGTACGACGTATTCAGAGACAGACGACGGGCGAGGAATTCTGGCCAAGAAGAGATCACTTCAAATGCATTCCTGTAGTGCGACCAACCCGCCTCGCCATATATTTGCTTAAAAACGTAAATTTCCCTCATATTAATCAAACAACGTACGTTCGAGCGGGCGAGATCCTCTAAGCTACGAATACGTGGCTTGGTGGGTGGCCGTGTAAGAAATGTCTTCAGATAGACGGAGAAGAGACAATTCGTTAGAAGGCCAATGAGAAAAATTGTCAATTAAATGAAACTCATGCGCCAATTGTTGTAAGGAGCAAGAGGAAATGATTGACCTAAAACGCCACGGAAAGTATGTTCGCGCTTGCATAGTATCGCGTAAAGTGAGCGGCTGGATTTGCGTGGTGGACTCACTTGAAAGTAATCAAAGAGGCTTAAGAACAAACTCACCACAACGGATATCACAATAATGTAGCGCAGCAGTTGAGATTGGAAAATGTACAGAAACATTTCGTTCACTTCGAGTTCACGTTCCAACGGCAACATCATCAACCATTTGGCGAACTCAAAGGGATAGCTGAAGTCATACGTGTTCGCGAAGAATTTATACGAACCCAAACTTGTTGAAAAGTCAATTTCACCCGAACGTGTGCGATTCAGTTGATCTCCCTGATATATGTTCTCGCCGATGGTAACGGCTTGTGAAAAGCGCAGGGTGGCATTGAGGTGCTGGCTAAAAGCTTGCACCAATTTACCCACATAACCGGAAAGCTGCAATTTACCGTTAGTATCGCGATACAGTAATGTACGCGGTTGATTCTGATCTGGCAACGTGTAGAGCGGATGACCGTATAGTTGGCATGTTTTATCGGGAAAGTAATTAATACCTGTTGTAAGCGGCGCGGATTTGAGTTTGAAGCTGGGAAAAGCGTCGAAGGTGTACACCAAGTTGTTGCTTTCGAAATCACCAAAATCACCAAAAAGTGCGATAACATTCAACATTTGCAGCGACTGTGCGTAGCGAAATAACTCAGTGACGATTTGACGTTTGCGCACCGCAGCCAAGTAGGCAGCCTTGTGCTCAACCCAGAGTATGATGCGCGTTTGGCGTATGTGCTGCAACTGATTGGCGAGCGCATTTAGTGCATCAATTGCCATATTTTCAGCTTCAATACAAACAATCACCAGCATATGATGATTGAAGTGCATCTTGAGCTCAGTTTGATGGTGTAGTTTTGTATCCAGCAATAGTTTCGGTGTTTCGGCCCAAACCTGCTCGCTGATAAAGGTGTTTCGCGCACAATTCTCTAGTACTATGGTTTGGAATGCTTCTCTGTGATTAAGTTCCGTGAAGAGATTGGAAAATGTCGTACCTCGTTGCTGACTGCATGCCACTGCAGCGTATAGTAAGAGATGCGCTAGCGGTAATGCCATACTTTTTGAAAGTTTTTTTGAAAGTTTTAGCGTGTATTACTTTCCTGCCTCCTTCTGGCTGTGCTGAGTGGCGACTAACACATGTCTAAGTTCAATTTGTGTAACAAATAATTTTTTTTTTACCACTTCTGTACATTAATTCTGATGATTTTGCTCATTTGGGTAATGAATGTGTTGAGAAAAGCAGGGAAGAGCTCATTAAAGTCCTATTACGAGGGAATCAACAAAAGTTCGGTCAGTTAGTGACTTCCAATTTGTTTTTGTTAATTCTGAAAATACCAAATCCTTTGCAATTAGTTTATTAGTCTGTCATTCAAATTTTAGAAGATCGGCTAAAGTGGAGACGAGAATACGCAAGATAGCTGAGAATAGGTCAGACGAAACTCCACCAACAACGCAACAAGAAATTCGCCAAGTGATTTTCTTCACGTTTCGGCGTAATTTACAGCGAAAACAAATATTCAGTGAATGTCAAAATGCATATGAAATGATTGGACCGTCATTAAAGACTAATTCTAAGTGGTTCCTAAGATTCCAGGCCGGATATTTTCTCATAGAAAACGAGCTCCGAGAAGGTCGAGAGAAATCATTCACTCCTGACGTCACTGTAGCACTGCGAATGTCCAAAGTTGACGAAGACCTACGATTGACACAAGAAATGATTGTTGATGAGCTGCGCTTGAATGTCATGCGTTGTGAGTATTAAGTAATCATGTGGGATACAGGAAAAAATCTGCTCGATGGGCACCACGAGTTTTAAAAGAAACCCAAAACGAGGCTCCAGTGAATTTTGCTCATTTTTTCCTTAACAAATTCGAAAATGGTCAGTCTAGCAACTTTAGTAAAGTCGTTACTGGTGACGAGTGTTGGTTCAATAAGTACGATCCAGAGACCGAACAGGGGCAAACCCAACCGTGAAATCTAAGCAACAAAAATCAGCAGCAAAAGTTATGTTGTCAGTTTACTTCACCGGATTTAAAATCTTAGCTGCTATTCCACAGGAAAAGGGTCAGACGGTAACTGCAAAATGGTACACCGAAGAGTGCTTACCAAAAGTTTTCAGAAATTTGTTGGAAAACAGAAAGAAAAAGGATTTGCGGCGCTACTTTTTACATCATGAAAACGCGCCATCCTACACAGCTGAAATAACGAGGAATTTTATGACGATCTCTGGAACCGAGGAAATACGTCCAGCACCATATTCCCCAGATTTATCACCTTGCGATTTCTGGTTATGACCGAAAATTAAAAAACAAATTTAAAGCGAAAGGTCTTTAATAGCAACGGTTAACGCTAAACTTGATAAGCCTAAAAGGCAATATTTTGGAGACTGTTCCAGATCCACTTCTGAAGATCTGTTGGCTTAAGAAAAGCATTGAAATCAATGGCGATTATGTAGAGAAGATAAAAAAAGGACAAAGATTACGAATAAATAAAAAAATAATTTTTTTGCCTTCATTTTTTTTTTGTCAACTTACCGAACTTTTGTAAGTCCCCTCGTATTACACACAGTTAGTATATGCATACACAAAATGCTGCTTCCTCATAATTTTGAGAAACATTCAATTATGTTTGTTCTTTGACTCAATGTTTTCTAGTCGTCTACTTAACCCTGGAATACCAACTTCTTTTTTTATATATGCATATATGATCGCTGCACCGTAACGATAAATTTCAGCTTGAACAAAAAATTTCTTTCGTTTCGGTTCGAACATTTGTAAATATTAACGTTAAAGCAGTTATCGTTTTTTACCGAAGCGAAATTTTGGCGTTAATGTTAAATCATTAACAGATAATGTTAAACGTGCTGTTAATATCACAGCAGGCAGCAAATTTGAAATTAACGTTAACGATGACTTTTGCGCTTCTTAAATGTTAACGACTTCAATTCGTTTTGATAACATGGCGCCGAAACGAAACGATTTCATTTCGTTCAGTTAATTTTTTTTGTTGGCGAAATGAAATGATATGGATATGAAATTGCGGTGAAATCGGTAAGAAATAATTTCATGAAAATATTGCTCCTCATTATATAATATTTGGTTTCATTTAAAAACAAATCCAAAATTTTTAAATCTATCACAAAGAAATCTTTCTTTAATTTTGGCTGCCTAAATTAGTAATAAATATAAAATATATAAAAATAAGTTTTCAACGAAAAAAGCAAACTAACATACATATTAATTTATATTTAATTCCATGGTCGATACAGCCAACAATTAGATAATTAAGTTTTCTAATATCGGTCTGCGCCTGGCTGGGAATATTAAGCTGTCCGAGTGTACTTCTGATATCAAATAAAAAGCTTCGCATAAAAATTCATCAATCAATCCATCCGTTCGGAAAGCACTTTCACTTATTCACGATCCAATCGCTTCATATTTCGCTTGAGTGCTTTGTTGCATATTTACTGTTCCCAGTCATATAAGCGTTCTAGGGTTAAACTGAATTTATTCACACACATCTTTATTATAGAAATAATATTAAATGGTCTAAACGGAAATCAATTATTATTTAATAATAGCACATCGTTGAACAAATTACGATAATTATTTGTGATGTGCAAGAGAGCTCGTCTTCTCTTCATCGTATCATTAACGAGGCGATGTGCCCTGCTAAAAATACGAGTAATTGTGCAGCCAAAATATTGTTGAACGAAGAGTAATAAGGTACACGGGTATCGGCTTGATGAAAGTTTGTATATGCATGCATGTATGAGTTTTATTTTAGGAAGATACAAAAGATTCTCACTTGTATAGGTCAAGCAAAAAGTAGTCCATCATCCTGGCATTAGTTAGAATTATACGATTTATTTTATATATGCACTGATGTTGCTCTATAACCTTTTACCAATTTGGAGGTACATTAATTTTGTCCCTCTCCTAGAAACCCTTGTCCCTATTAGCAAACAATTGGGATCATCGATTTTCGCATGCTTCTATTGAGGTCAATTCTACACCAGCCAAATCGTTCACTGTACATAGAAACAAATTGCATTCACCGGTTGAAAGGTTAAGGTGGATGCATAAGAACCTTCCGACCATGTTCTCGGAGCTTCTGGTGAATCTCTAACGTTGTGTGTGTTTTGGCATTGTCCTAATAAAACACAATTCCCGTCATTTTACCTAAACCTGGATGCGTCAGTTTGATTACTCCCTTCAGACGGTGCAATTGCTAATAGTATAGATCCGAATTAAGAATTTGAGGATCAGCTCATAATGGATGATTCCTTGCCAATGCCACCGAACATACAAGCAAACCTTACTATCCCACAATCCTGGCTTGGAGACTTTTTTGCAGCTTACTGCCCTCCAACCACGATGTTTTATGTGATCCACTTGGAAATTGGTCGATTTTGTTACGATTCAGCAGTGATTCGCCGATGAAAATTTAATCCAGGGGGGTTTTTCTCCTCATCTTATGTGTCACATCGAGTTTCTTGTGTATCCAGTACTTTTCAAATGGCGTCAAACGGTTTTGTATGCAATATTTTCAACTTGGACAAGCGAAACAGTCAGACGATCAGACTTTACGATTTCCATTATTTTATCGATATTTTCGGCAAATTTTCAAAATTGTGGAGCATGTTTGATGTGTATGATTGACTCTTACTGTGTCAGAACCATAAACCCATAAGCTACTTTGGACTGAACTAATTTTATGGGGACCTCTTAAGATCAACTTCTTTCATCGTATGATAGGAGAGGTTATATTGACTGGCCTTACATAGGTGAGATGCTGGTTTTTTTTTACTACCAGATGGTAGTTAAGCTTTATTCGAGAAAAATTAGTCGTTTTCTAGAAAGTCTACGTTTCTTTTTCGAAGTTTAAGAGCTGACTTGGTAACCAGTTTTGACACTTCCTCGACTGTGAAGCTCCAAGATATCTAGGACGAGTTCTTCATATGTATATAGTTATATTTTAATGTTTCACTCATGCCTTCCTCTCCGCACTTCTTACATAACTCATCGCTGCCAATGTCCATTCTTCTGACCTGTGGTGCCAGTAGGTTACTGCTTGCCATTGAATCTACCATTTGTTTGTGAACCTTTCGAGGTCGTGAGCGTGGGCGAGACTGTCAGAGATCCAACTCAGATCCTGCTATAGATTCCAGTGCCCATTCCATCTCATATTTCTAATCGGTCCGTGTAGATATTGCGAATTCAGTTATAAAGAAATTTATGGTCACGTTCAGCGTGGCTTCGTATTTATATTAAACGCTTATCTGCCTTTCAAAGGAACTCTATTAGTTCAGCTATATGGGAGTGGGAGATAAGTTTGTTGACGTTACTATTTTTTTTAATTAAGCGAGATCAGCTTTGCTCTGCACTGTTTTTAAATAGTTGATTTTAAGTTCACAGACCGGTTAAAAACGGACGGTTTGCTTGTCTATTTTTAAACCAGTCTGAGAAATTTTTAGTAAGATTATTTTTTTCTCTAGCAAGTGGTTTGCCCTACACTTTATGCTAAGGCGCCTCCGAACGGACGATAAATTTCTACGAGGGGCCTTTTATTTCATGCCAGAAGAGGCGGCCGCTGTCAGAAACATTAATTTTCTATAATTTTTTATGTCCATCGAAAGGTCTCGAACCCTGGCTTTGAAAATGTTAGTACGCAATGCCTAACACTCCTGGCAAGACTTTAGTCCCCATTAAGGTTGGCACAATTAAACAGGTTTGGTTGAGTTATGTTGATTAATGTCATTCGATCTTCGCGTAAACCCGGTGGTGGGAAGTAAATACGATTACGTATACACACGCATTTCTGGGGAAATACATTCGGAGGGCTTGACTTTCTATACCGAGGGTGGAGCGCAATAAAAAAAATAGCTTTTATTTTTTAAATAATCTGTTTCGAGCTTTGGATGGTAGAAAAAATAATTTTTTTTTTAATAATTTCTATTTTTGTATAAATTTTATTTTTTTAATAATATTTTTTTGAATAAATTATATATTTTTAATAACTTTTGTTTTTCAATAATTTTTATTTTTTGAATAAGT